TAGGCTACAGAATGAGGCTTTGTCTCAATAGATAGATAGATAGATAGATAGATAGATAGATAGATAGATAGACCGACCGACCAACCACACCATACCAAATAAAAGCAAAACATAAAAGAATAACCATAATTTCAGGAAAAGGTGTTATTTTATTTATCATAACATGTATCTTGTGATCATCTTTCTCTTTTTGAAAAAGAGTTACTCTTATTTATGCATATGTATGTCTGTGTGAGTGGATGCTACTTGTGTGTGGATGCCTAAAGAGGACAGAAGAGGGCCTCAGATCTCTTGGAACTGGGATGACAGGCAGTTGTAAGCCTCTGTATGCAGGTGCCAGGAAAAGAACTCAGGTTCTCTAGAAAAGCAGTAGATACTCTCAAGTGCCTGGCAGAAAATATTTTGATGAAAAATACATTTATATTTTTTCTTTTATACCTTCAAATCCTTTTTATTTTAAGATAAGTATATATTTACAAGAAGTTGCAAAAATAGGTAGTGAATAACATCTTTTAAATTTGCCCTAGTGATTACACATTGTGTAATTGTGATGGAATTCTAAAGTAGTTACTCACGATTCCCGCACCATGAATATTCATTCAGTCAATGGTAATTTGAGTTCTTCTGTGAAGGAAGGTCATGGAATTGAAAATAGGCATAGGATCTTAGCTTGTCCAGGTAGACTTAATCTAATTACTAGCACTCTAGAAAACAAAGGCCTGTCTCCAATTAGAAGCATGTAAGTGGCGTAAGAGAGCAGCAGAGGGGACACAATATGACAGGGCTTGTGCTGGTACATGCCTCTGACTGCAGGACATAGGAGACATATGTAATGCATAATAGAAGTTTTATTTCTATATCATAAGTGAGAAGAAATAAGTCAACCTATGATTAAAGTTTTAATTCAGTTGTAAATTCAAATGAAGTTATGGCTTTCAATTAATATTTACAGTAGAGCCTCTTGTCAGATAGCTAGTAATGGGGCACTAATAAGGCAGAAACATATGCCTTTATCATTCCATTTTCATAACTGAGAATCTTCGTAATAGATCCTCAACTATAGATAGCATGGGTTTTAGTTGGTTCTATTGGATTATCTGGTAACTAAGTTTCTGGAATAATAGGGTTCATAGCTTTGGTATTTCTGAAATAATCAAGTCATCTAGGATCCACTCAAATAGGTAAACTTAATTTCTTCATGGCTTTTTCTTTGAAGAAAAACCAAGAGCTTTAGACAGGAGCCTCAGCTCTATCTGCCTATGTCTCTCCCCCTTTATCATGGTCTTCTTTGATCTGTTCCCATATGGGGTCACAGTTGGCCAAAAAGTGAACCACTTGAGTTGGTAAATAGTCACAGATTAGTGGTTTGAGATGTGGGCTTTGGAAGTGAACAGAATTTGACTAGTTTTTCAACTCTGCTTGGCTTAGTCATTTATTTGATCTTTTAAAATCCGTTTCTCCATTTCAAATGGATTACCATATGCAAATAGAATCTGTGATAATTAAATTAGAGCATGAAAACATTGCATTTAGCAAACTATGTGACCTATACACTTTATCATCACATTATTATTATTATTATTATAAGAAAGAAACAATGGAAAACAGCTTGGCATTATTGGCATAAAAATAGACAGGTAGACCAATGGAATCAAATTGAAAACCCTGATATGGACCCACTCACCTATGAATACTTGATTTTTGACAAAACACTAAAATTATACAATGGAAAAAAGAAAGCATCTTCAACAAACGGTGCTGACATAACTTTTAACTTTTTAGATGACAAGGTCTAACTTTGTAGACAAGGCTGATCTTGCATCCAAAGCATGCATCGGTTCACACATGACAGTGTTCCTAGTGTGGCCATATTGCTACTCAACTCCTGGTTGATAGTCATACAAAGCCAAAATTTTTTCAGCAATAGATCTCATCTGGGGTTGCTGAGAATACATATCTATGTTTATCATGTGTGCATGATGAATGTCTCTTAAATGCAAAGTTATTTTCAGATTTTGGAGTATATGTTTATACATAATAAATTATCTTGTGGATGGGACCCTATTCTAAATGAGAAATTCATATACATATGTGTATATATATATATATATATGGCATTTACACACAATCTGGAGGTAATTTCTTTTTTTATGGGAGAAAAGGTTTATTTCCACTTGCAGTTCCAGGTTACAGTCCACCATAGTAGGAAAACCAAGGCACTGATCAGTAATGTCAAGCAAAATCAGATAAATGAAGGTAATTTCTTATAGTAGTTCAGTCCATGCTTTTGTGTGGAGGTGTGGGGTGGAAAGGTGTGTGTGTGTGTGTGTGTGTGTGTGCTATGCATGCACATGAAAACCTAAACCTAGAGAGGCCAGAGGAAGACATTTGGTGCCCTGCTCTATAACTTTCCACTTTTTTGCTTTAAGACAGGGTCTCTCACTGTACCTAGAGCTAAGCTGGTGGCCAGCAAGCCCCAGTAATACCCCTGTTGCCTTTGAGTTATAGATTTGGTCAGCCATCCTCAGTTTTTTATGTGAGTGCTGAAATCCAGAATCAGTTTTTTATGCAAGTGCTCTACCCACTATGCTATTTCTCCTGTTCCTCTCCTGCATTTTGACTATGCAGCATTACATGTAGTACTCCAAGAGTTTAACATTTCTGTAGTGTTTTGCATATCAGATTTTGAGATTAGAGAGACTCACCCTACAATAATCAATAAAGCAATGGCATACTTTGTAATCTTGAGTTTTTTTGGGGGGAGGATGAGATTTAAGAGCAGCATTAAAACAGATGTGGTAACACCTGTCTGCAATGCCAGCAACACAGCCTAGGGCACAAGGACATTGAATTTGAGGTTACCGTTGGCCACAAGATGGATGTAAGGCCAGCCTTGTCTAAAATGTTAGACCTTGTCATCTAAAAACTTAAAAGTCACTCTACATGTATAGGTAGAGTTCTAGGCTTTAATGATAGCAGCTAGCCTATATTGAATATCAAAGGGAAAGCACAAAGTCTTATAAATTTAGTCATTTTTCTCATTTTTACATCATGTGCTCTGATCCCACCTATCTCTTCATTCCCTCACACCCACCCTCTACCCTTGCAACCCCTCCATCAAACCAAATTTAAAGGAAAAAACAAACAAAGAAACAAAACAAAAATAAAAACAAAAACAATGAAGGAAGAAGAAGGAGGAGGAGGAAGAGGAGGAAGAGGAGGAGGGGAAGAGGAAGGGGAGGAAAACGAGGAGAAGGAGGATGAGGAGAATGAGAACGAGGAGGAGAACAAGGAGGACGAGGACGAGAAGTAGGAGAATTAATTTTGTCATGGAAGCTGCAGTGTGGCCCATTGGGTCACACAGAAAAGAACCCTGGCTTGCAGTGAACTAGCTGAGTTCCTAAGAATTGTCCAGATTAAACTTTGATTGCATCATCTTAATTCTCCTCTTCTCAGTCACCAAGCCACAGTTGTATCCCTGTATTGTACCATGGCGGTCTCAGAACCACTCCCCACGGAGGAAGAACTCTCCATTTGGGATATATAATACCTCAAAAACCACTGGAGACACAGCAGAGCATTGCATTTCAAAGTGCTTCCTGAGTCTCAGAGAAATAAACTTGAATCCTCATCCAATATACCATCTATACTTAGTTCACCCTGCCCCCATGCCTTTGGTTTCCAGTGATACACAATTTGTAGAAAAATTTTCCGATAAAAGGAATTAAAATTGTACACAGTCAATCTTGTTGGCAGAGGTGTGGGTGAGCCAGCCCTGATGTTGTTAAGTGTGAGAGAACTGTCTCCACTACTCGTCTGTCATGTAGCGGTATGAGAGGGTGAGAGACACCACCCCTTACCCCTTACCCTTCTCACCCCTGACCACCTACAACAGATGAGAGTTGACTCTCCCCTTTACCAGATGCAGAACTCAAGAAACAAGCCCTGCCCTCACCTAGGCATTACAGAACTGACCAGTGGTCAAAGGCAAGGATGACCTAGTCCCGATGTTATGAGCAAAGGAGAGCTGTTCTCATTACTTATTAGACCTGTGATAGCATGGGTGGATGAGAGATGCCCTCCCCACCACCTCCCACCCATCAATGCCTGAGACAGGTGGAGGAAATGGCTCTGGGGTCATAAGAGCAGGAGAGCTGTCCCTGCCCCTCACCAGATATAGCATCTGAAAAATTGCCCCTATACCTCACCTGGGCATCACAATATAGGGGGCTCTAATGGTATAGGTATGTGACAGAGAGCCATCCCTGAGAATGTGAAAGCAAGAGAACTGGTCCCACATCTTGCCTGTTGCTGTAAGAGGTGAATCAGCTAGGGCAATGTTGGAGAGCTCACCCAAGTGGTGAGGATGGAGAAGAATTGGCTAGTGGACCAGCCCTACAGTTGCCTAGGCCAAGAGCCAGGGTTATAGCTTGGCTGGTCCCAACATCCACCCCACCTATGATCTGCTGGAGCACATGAAGGGATCTGGCCTACAGATCCAAAGCTGTATAATCTCCCCAACATAGGACAACAGGATTTCCAGGAAGAGTCCTAATGAGGACCCGGCATTGAAAGCATAGAACCAGACCAATGACTTCACAATGAACACTTTCAAGTGAAGATATGTGGACAACGGGGCTTACTGTGTGACTCACTGTGTTACACTGCAGCTCCCATGAGGAGACTTTTAATTTTTTCTCTTTTTTTCCTTTTATCTCTTAAAATTTGTTTTATTTTGGAGGGAAGAGGTGTAAGAGTGGAGGGCAGATTGGAAGTGAGGTTAAATAAATAGGATCAAGATACATGAAACAAAAGAATCATAGAATAAATAAAAAGAAAGTAAAGAAAATTGTAATGCTTTGCACAATTTCTGGTAGAGAGCAAAAAGCCAAAACCTGCCTTTGTTCCTGCTATTTGTCCCATACAGCCAGTATCAGTTAGTTTTCTGCTGCTGTTATAAAACATCATGGCCAAGTGAATTGTGGAGGGGGAAAGCTTACCTTGGAGAGAGTTCATGATGGTAGGGAGGCTTGGTAGCAGGAAACTGAGAGATCATGTCTTCATCACACAGGAAGCCAAGAGACAATAAATCGGAATCACTGTGAGGCCATAAACTCTCAAAGCCTACCACCTTTGACGTACATTGCTGTAACAAAGTTCCATGTCCTACACAAACAGCACCGCTAGCTGGGGACCAAGTGTTTAGATACATGCACTTGTGGGGGACATTTCTCATTCAAACTGCTACATTTCACTCCCAGGCCCTCATAGGCTCATGGCCATATCACAAAGAAAAATGTATCTAGTCCAACTTTAAAGGTCCCCATCGTCTTATACAGTCTCAGAAGTGTTTCTGTGTCCAAAGTACCTGCTGAAACTCAAAGAAATCTCTTTATTGTGGCCTCCCTATACAATCAAGAAGAAATTACTTCCAACACACAGTGGTATAAATTACATATCCCCATTCCCAAGGGGTAAATGGGCAATAGTGAGGAATGTTGAAGCAAAACAAAACCAAAATTGAGCAGGAAAAGCAAAAAATCCTGTAGCTTCATGTTCAGTATCTGGAGATTTAGATTTAAGGGACTTAGAGAGTTCTACCCCGACCCCAGCTTTGCTGCTTGCAAGGAAAGTCTCCCTGGCTGGCTGATTCCACACCCTGTATCAAACTCTCCTCAGTAGATGTCTCTGTGTTTGCCACTGTCACCCAGTCTTCATTTCCACAGCTTCACACATGGGTCTCTCATAGCACAGGTGGCCTGGATTCAGTGACTCTCTGAAACTGCAGAGGAAAAACTTGTAACCCTCTCAATCTGTTGTGCTTTCATTGCCCCAAAGTCAGTACCATACTGAAGACACTGCTAAGTTTGGCTGCCAACTACACACAGATACATGCCTCCATCTGAATCATTTCCAATAGCATTTTCTTTAAACAACTGCTTCCTAAAAGCAAGCAACCCTTTAGGCTTTCTCCATTTCTAAGTTGGAATCTTTGCTAGGTAAGATCTTGCCCTAATGGCACCTTTTCCCTTTCCTATGGAAAAACAGGAGACCACTCCTTAATGGTGCTAATCTCACTAGTAATTAAACCTCTTTCAGCACATGGCTTTTCTGTAACTTTAAGGTTCCTAGTGTTCTTTTTCTCTCCAAACCACAAAGTTTGCACTTCTTTTTTCCCTATTTGCATTTTTTCATTGTACTCCTACAAGAGGGTCATCAATAACAACCATTCCACAGATTCAACATTATGTTGCCTTGAAATCTCCTTTGCCAGAGAAATTAGTCCACTCTTTGTGAATTAGTCTCAGGTAAGTTCTCAGAGCAAAGGCAGAAAAACAGATTCTTTGCTAAATATCACATGATGGACTGTAACTCAGTTGCTAATAAAATCCTTGCCCCCTGAAATCTCATGATCCAGGCTTCTAATCTCTGTACTGCTGTCTTTTAGCTTCCTGCTGGACCATCCTAAGCTCTGCTTAGAGCATTCAATCAAATTTCAAAGTCTTTGACAGTCACTCCAAATACAATATGGTCAGCTTCTTCACAGTGACAACCCACTCTCTGACACCAACTTCTGTATTAGTTCTTGTGATTGCGTTGACTCTATAGTGTGTTACTATGATAAAATCTGATGACCAAACCAACAATTGGAGAAAGAGTTTATCTTGGTTTATGGCTCCAGGGAGAGAGTCCATTAATGGACTCTCAAGCAGCCAAAACAGGAAACCTGAGATATCACATCTTTATCACACAAGACATCAAGAGACGATAAACTAGAAATAGGGTGATTCTATACAGCATGCCCCTAGTGACATGCTTTCTTTTTTCTTTCTTTTTTTTTTTTTTTTTTTGGTTTTACGAGACAGGGTTTCCCTGTATTGTTTTGGAGGCTGTCGGTCCAGCCCAGCCTCGAACTCACAGAGATCCGCCTGCCTCTGCTTCCCAAGTGCTGGCATTAAAGGCGTGCACCACCACTGCCCGGCATGACATGCTTTCTTAAGCAAGGCTCCATTCCCTAAAAGCTCCATGACCTCCTCCAGCAGTGCACTTGGAGACTAAGTGTTCAGGTATGTGCATCATTGGGGAACATTTCTCCTTTAAGACATTACATCCCCTCCCATCTTTAAGTGCACTGCCCGGGTTGTTAAGTAAACAGACTTGTGATTGTTGCTTTGTTTTAGGTTGGACATCAGTGCAAGTATGTCATTAAAGAAGTGATACCAGGAAATGCATACCAGTAGATAAGAAGCCTGAAACAGGAAGAAAGTCAATGTAGCATTTGTCAGTGACCACCAGTCATTGTAGAAACCCGAAGCCCAATATTACTGAGTATCTCCACATGTTGGAGTCATCCTACCTGAGGACTTAAGTCCAACTTTGTCCTGTTGGGCTTCCACTCAGAGGCCTCATCTCCCTGGTCCCTGCAACCCCTGCCTACATGTTTGCTGAGCATCTTCCATTAGCCGAACAGAAGCCTCAGAACAGTAGAGCATGAAAAAAACTGGCCATGCATTACAAATGTGAGTTATAAGGTGAGAGGACCTTCAGATCTCCAACCTTCATTCTTATGCCTTCATAATTGCCACACTGATTTCATGTCTTCAGGAGCCTATTTAGGAATTCTCCTTCTTTCAACACACTGGTTGTGGTGTTTTCAACGTTGGAAGTTGTATGGCTCGTTTTGCATTGTACATAGTAGTCTGCCTTGTGTTGTGTCATTTATAATGTGAGTTTGGGATTTGAGGACAAGTTTAACTAGTCATAATTTTCCTGTTACAAACTTTGCCCATAGTTAGTGCTCAATTAATTTTGGTCAGATTAAATTGTGTTTCAGTTGAAAAACGATTAAGCACAAAATGTACTTATGTTCTCCACAGTACAATTTTTATATACTTATGCATCCTGGAAAATATTTGACAAATCATCTCTTTGCCTTCTTTAATGTGTTTTGGTCTTATACTATCTTTAAATGCCTTGAAATTGCAAAAGACAAATATATCTTCATGTAATTTAAATGACAAACATCAGGCTCTTTCTTCCTTATGAATATACAGAAAGCTGATGATCACAGCAGGTAACTGATGAGGCTAATCTTTCAATGTCCCAATAATTCTCTGCCTGATTGCTTCTAGCTTGGGAGGATACAAGATCACAGAAACATCAAGTGATTTGATCAGGACCAGAATAGATTATTGATTGTCCTCGAGTGAACTGAGTGTAGAAGATAAGATTGGCATGATATCTCAAGGGAAGTCCTCAGAAAGAAATCAATATGTAGACTTTAGAATCTTATAAATGAGAACGAAAGGAAGGTTCTATGAAATACAAACCTAGGATTATTTAGTGTAGCATGGAGAGAACTGATGCTACTATACTTCATAATCTGTTAGTCTGACCAGCATGCAGGTCCCATTATGTGACTCTATGTTGGATCAATTTGCCTTTCATGCTTCACTAGAGTTTTCCTAAACAGTAAGAATTATTTATTTTTAATAATGTTAACAAAAATATTCCATTAGACGTTGCTTCTCTTTTTTTAAATTTTTATTATTATTTATTTTGGTTTTTTGAGACAGGGCTTCTCTGTGTAGTTTTGGAGGCTCTCCTGGAACTAGCTCTTGTAGACCAGGTTGGTCTCGAACTCACAGAGATCTGCCTGCCACTGCCTCACGAGTGCTGGGATTAAAGGCGTACGCCACCAACGCCCGAGATGTTGCTTCTCTTAAGTAGAGAAAAATATGCAGATGGCAAGACCTTTTGTAGTGATTAAGGGCTATTAATATTCCCATCAATGATTTGTGACAAATGGAAAACATATGTGTATTATAATTTTATATTTCTTTTTATTATAGTTTGAATGATGGACATTTACACACTGAGGTAATTCTACTGTGTGGGTTCAGCAAACATGCCTTCCTTAATATAGACTTCTTCTCTCATCTGTGATCTTCCTTCTTTTCATCCTAGTACATTCACAAGCCTCTACTCTTCCTTATGCATTTTGTTAACTGGTTTGTAATACCTAAGAAAGGAATTGGTAGTAAGATGTTCAGTTTTGATTGGAAGCCTTGGTAGGTGTTTATAACTCAGCCTTCCTCTTCCAAAATTCATTTGTAGTTTATCTGAAGGTCCCAGGTTTTGAGGATGCTGCACCTGAAATCCTGGGTTGAAGGCAAATAAATTTATGAACTGGTACTAGAGTCTGAGAATCCAGAAATACCATCAGCTTCTCCTTGTCAGAGCCTGTGCATTCATGCAGATGCTTCTGCCAGTAGGAAGGTCTTTCCCTGGAAGGTCAAGGAAAACTCAATAATCTCTACACACAGCCAACTCCATGGTTAAAATTCTTTTCTAAATGGAAGCAATCCTTTCTTTGTTGACACAACCAGTTTCTTACTTTACACTTTTTCCATAAATAAAGCAAACCCCAGCACATGCCCCCCATATGTATTAAGCTCTTGCAATGACCGATTTTGTTCATGAGCTTAAAATCACCCTTGACTTACTCACTAAACTTTATCTTTATCAAACTTTAGGCTTCCCTTCTTTCTATAGGCTCCTAAACTCAGCTACTCTCTCACTTTATAAATCACTGACATTCCCATGCTGCCTACTCACCTCACTGCTTTTTATCCCTGTCCCCTCATTACTTTGGGTTCTACTATCTGTCCATCTGCCCATGTTTACAGACCCTTTCCTTACTTATTTCAGAAACACTATAGTTCCTAAAGCCTGTTTTTCCCATTGAAATTGTTTTCAAATGAAGCTTGTCTTCCCATACAATGGCATTTATGTTTTGCTTTGCCTCTTTGCATCTCTCTTGAGTTTAGGTGAAGGGGGAATGGACATCATGGACCTGACCTTTTCCTCTTGCAGAGGAAGAAAAATGATTCACAGTTCAGCAAAAGCTCTCTACACCACTATGAAAATTTCTCCAGCTGTGCCCCCAGAGTAGGTGAAAGGTTGTTATTACACTGTTTTGTTCATGTCTATGGTTCAGTCTATCTTTCAGAACACAGTTTTGGAGGTCAAAGAATTCCATCATCTGCTGGTTTTCAGCTGAAGAGCTGAAGACTGAATTGCCTTCAGCTTAAAATAGTCCTTAGGCCAAAGTACCCTCCACGTTCAGTATATATCTTGTTCAGGAACTATTCTAGAAGATAGTCAATATAGTGAATATAACTGCTTTCTAAGGATGCACTTAAGTGTTTGGGACTTAGAATAATAGAAGCAAGGTATGATTTTACAACCTTGATATTTACATTTGAATGGCAGTATTCAGGGACAAGCAGGAAATATATTTCAATAATTGTCCAATAAAGTACTGAGTAACATTGTGGTTAATGTTATCTTTAGAAATTACTTAGCACATGCATATAAATTCCCCTTCATCTTTGATGATGACAAATATTCTATGAAAGAAAATACTCTAGCCAAGCAAGGCACACACACTGGGGATTTCTACCTAGTTAGACAGAGAACAGGTCACACAGAGCCCTGAACAGCACAGTGAGGATCCTGTGTTTTGTTTCACTGAGATGGAAGGCACTGGATGCTTTCCAGCAGGAGAGACTCATATCTGATCCAGACTTTTAAAAGGTCCTTCTTGGCTATTAGATGGAGAAGGGATGACAGAATGACAAGAACAGCAGTTATTAAGAGTCTAGTCCAGACAAGGAAGGTGAATTTTCCAGCACAGCTGGCGCCACTGAGGAGCTGAAAACAAATCCCTGTGGATCCGCAGCCACGTATGGCAGAAGGAGCTGAAGTGCATCTCTCTCACCAGAATCCTGGAATAGACCTGAAATCAGACTGTACGTACCAATTGTTCTCTTGCAATCCGCATTTTTGCCTCCACAAGGTACACCTCCACTAATCTCTCCACATGACACACACCCTAATAGGAGTTAGCATCTCTCTTTCCAGCAATGAGAACCTGCACAACTCAGGAAGTAGGAAATTATCCTTTGGAAACAACACCCACTAAAGATTTTCATGACAAAATGGCTATTCTTCTCTTTAATTTTTATGTCGTATGGACTGGGGATGCCTTTTATTTTAAGATCTGATCTCTATAGCCAACTGCACAGAAACAATTAAGATTGCACATGATTAGTTTTGTTCACCCTATTTTTCTTCTATAGACAGAAAACAACTATTTAAAACAGTCAGGACTATTTCCCATGCCAGGAGCATGTGCAGATTTTTTTCTGTTTGGGACCAGCTTGGTACTTGGTTCTAGAATAGTTTAGCCTCTGGGTGCCCATGAGTATCAGTGACATCTATGATGCCATCTCCATATTCCAGGACAAAATATCAGATTGGAAGGTTCATTCCCTAGGCAAGTGAAGAAGCTCCCCTTAGCCTATGAGAAGTAGAAAAGTCAGATGAGAAAACAAAATCATCACAGTCAACAAACCATCATTGGCTTCTATGACCTTGGAAGAAATACAATACCTTCCCCCAAAATATAGACCTCCTTGCTTGTGATCTAGAATGGGTATTTTTGTGATTATTTACCTGGACTCCTTCCCCTAAAGAGAGTAGTTTACCACATATGATATAATTTAAGTTTTCAAGTTTATTATTCACACACAATCAAGCTTTTACAAAAACTTACAAACTAGACAGCAATGTGTAGATTTCAACAGATCTGCAATTGTAAACCACCTTCACCCTTTGATGATGGAGTAGTGGACCGAGGACTCTGAGGACCCAAATGCATCCAGATTCCTTTGTATCTTACAGAACCAAGATGTGATTACAAGATCTACTACCAACTGGATGATTGTGACTTGATTACAAATCAGTTTGCATTGTTTTGCTCCGTTTTCTATGTATGTTGTCCTTTAAGTCACCTATTGTAAAATTCATATTTAAAAAATGTTTTCCAATGGCAGATGTTGAAAAGAGTCAAGTCTTGCGAATTATCTTTCTTCACAAAGTTACTTCTGGTAGGTAGAGGAGCCACTATGGCTCTGAATAGCTTACATGAACATCTTATGGGTCATCTTCCTTCACAAGCAGAAGGGGAATGGAGGAAAGTAAAGACTCTTTTTTTTTCAGACTTGTTGCATGAGGAGCCTGTTTGTCAACTCTTTGGGTCAGGAACTTTCCTGAAATTTTCTATATGGACACAATTATGACCCCACCAACGCTGCTGATGGTTTACAAGACCCCCAACTATGATGCCAAACATGGTCCAAGCCATCTTTCTTATATGTTGCCATTGCCTATGTTTCTGAATGGGGGGGCATCTCTATTGGAGTGACTGGTCTTATTCAGAGTGATGACTTGCCACATTATTGGGGGTGGTGCTCTTTCTTTGTAAGTATAGCCTATGCTACCCGGGTGCTTGCCGGTTCATATTTCTCTGTTCCCTTTTAGAGCCAAAAAAGGAATGGATAATGTGCTACTAAAGCAGCTGCATAGTAGCTCACACATATATACTAAGTATCCCATTACCACCCAGCTTGAACATGACACAAATCTCAGCAGTGGCCTCTTCTCTATTTTTATGTTTTTGCCTCTTTGGCAGATTCTACACTCTTCTTTAGCTCCTATGAGATAACCTATGCACCAGACTCATTTCTGAGAAGAATGTATTTAACTCTGGGGCTAAGACAGAAGACACTGGAAGAGAAGTATAAGTCACTTACACCTTCCTCATTTTTTTTTCAGCTTCTATTAAAAGAAATTAAACATTTCTTGTCAGAACTGGGCACTGTGGTTTTTAGGCTCCAGCTGAGGTAAATTAGTTGAACTGCTCACTAATTTTGATATTGTAACATGAAATGAAAGCAGCTTTGGAAAATGTGCATTTGTCTGATTAACTATTAAAGGCCATGACCAAAGGAAACTTGGGGAGAAAAGGGTTTATTTCCCTTACAACATCTAACATTAAGGGAAATCAGGGCAGGAACCTGGAGACAGGACCCAAAGCAGAGATCATAGAGGAACACTGCCTACTGGATTGCTCCTTGTAGCTTGCTAATCTTGCTTTCTGGAGTCTCTGTGAGCACAGGTTAGTTGATTCTGTGGGTTTTTCGTTGTGTG